GGCCACCCCATGGGGAGAAGGGGCGGGGCCTGGCTCGGGCAGCCCCACTGGTGGCTGGATGGGTGGGAGGTTCTGGAGGCTGTCCAATGGCTCGGGGGACCCTAGCCCTTTTTGGAGGTGGGGGTGGGGCAGGGCCAGCCCCAGGGTCTAATCCCCGCCCCGCCCCGCCCCCCAGGTGTGCCAGAAGTTGGGCGAGATCTCCCTGCTGAAGCAGCAGCTGAAGGAGTCGCAGGCGGAGCTGGCGCAGCGGAGCACCGAGATGCTGCTGCTGCGGGCCCAGCTGCGGGAGGCGCGGGCGGAGCGGCAGGCGGGCGAGGAGCAGGCGCTGGGGCTGCAGGAGGCGGCGCGCACCCGGGCGCTGGAGCTGGAGGTGTGCGAGAAAGAGCTGCAGCGCCGGAAGAGCGAGGCCGAGCTGCTGCGGGAGAAGCTGGGCCGGCTGGAGCAGGAGGTGGCGGGGCTGCGGGGGGCGCGGCGCCAGCCCCGCTGCCCGGAGCCGCCCGAGCCCAGCCTGCTGTGGGCCAGCGACGAGGCCAAGGCCCAGCGGCAGGCGGCCGAGACGCTGCAGGGCCTGCGGGCCGAGCTGCTTCAGGAGCGCCGGCGCGGCCAGGAGCAACGGGCCGCCTTCGAGGCCGAGCGGCTCACCTGGCAGGGCGAGAAGGACCAGGTGATCGGCTACCAGAAGCAGCTGCAGCACAACTACATCCAGATGTACCGGCGCAACCGGGAGCTGGAGCACCACCTGCACCAGCTCAGCCTGGAGCTCCAGGCCCAGCGGCTGGACGAGTGCGGCCTGCACGGGGCCGAGATCTGCTTCGAAGAGATCACCGCCACCGAGATCTGAGCCGGGCTGTGCCGCCTGCCCCGGGAGCTAGACGGGTTAGCCGGCTGCTTGGGGGGCAGCTGGCAGAGGGGCCCATGGCTGGTTCATGGGGGAGGGGAGCTGGGCCTCTGGCTGCTGGGAAGAGCCGATTAACAGCTGATCCCTTTAGCGCTCGGGAGGGGATTAGTGGCACCTGCTTGTAGCTGGCTGGGGGGTGCCAGGATCATTCCTCTGCCGTATGGGCCCTGTCACCCCGCCCGCCGTGCCCCAGAGCCTCCATCGAGCTGGGAGGAGGTAGCAGGGCTGTGTGGTGGTCTGCATGGGGTGAGGCCCCCTCCTGTGCCGGGGAGAACGGGTCCCTCCGTGGCTGCCAGGCGGGCTGGTCCGAGCGCCAGGCTCAGTGGCACAGCCCCGCAGCGTGTCGCCTGCCAGCCTGCTGTGAGGTGGGTCTCCCCCAGGGATGGTCTGCGGTGCCAGCTGTGAGAGCAGCGCCATGCCCCGGCCACCCCCCCAGGGGGGCTTGCAGGCTGGGGCTTTGCCCAGTCAGTGCAGGGTCCAGCCCAGCGCTTGGGATCTCCACGCCCCTCTTGGAAATCAGCTTCCTCCGCCTTTTGTGGGCTGCTCCCTGCAGAGGCTGTATTGGGGGGCAGGGCACAGGGCCTGCTCTGCCCTGTTCCCCCAGCTTTGCCCTCTGTGTGCAGCCCCCGTGCCTGGCATCCCCTGCCCGTGGCCCATCGGGTTCAGTGGTCCCTGCGCCCAGCCCTCTGCTCGGAGGGCTCCTGCCCGGGCAGGCTGCCCCTCTGCGTTCCAAACACCCGGCTTTGCAGGGTTGCCGTTTCTGTGCCATGCAAATGTACTCTATTTTTGTAGGCCCTACAGAAAGGGGTCTGGGCTCCCCGGGTGCAGTAGCAGTTCATTAGCCGGCGTGATTCCGCTTCCCACCCCTCGGCCGGGAGGTCTGCGCACACCCCTGCCCTTTGCCTCCTGTTCCCGTGTGCTGAGCTCTGCCCCTGCCCCTCCATTGCCAGGGACCTGCTGCACGGTTTTGCTAGCCAGCCCCAGCCTGGCTTTGCCTTTTGCTTCTGGCCCAGCATCTGCCTCTGCCTGGCACGTGCCGTCTCTCCGTCCCCCCCCCCCCCGCTGTGAGCACCTCTGCATGGGGTGCTGCTCACTGCCCCACCCCCATGCCCACCTGTGGCGAGGCAAGGGCAGCCGTGCTGTGGGCGGGGGCAGGGCTGTGTGGTGCCTGGCTGGCAGAGGCTGAGCTGTTGCCCCTTTCTCCCTGGCGTGTCCCAGGCTGCCCTGGGACTGGCCCCATGGGCACTACAGAGCCAGGCAGGGACTTTGCTGGGCCAGGCCCTGGGCACCAGCTCCCTCCAGGGGGGCGGGGGAGAATGCTCCAGCCCTTCCTGTGGGAGTTTCACATGGAGGGGGCCATGCAGCAGTAGGAGGCACCCCTCCCCCACCCTTGTGTGTGGGGGGGTCCTGTGCTGGGAGAGGCCGGAATGGTGAGTGGGCCAGACGCCTGCCAGCCCTTGGCTGAGTCACATCCTCATTGGGCCCCTTTCCTTACATTGGGCTGGGCCCCCATCCCGCCCGCGGGTGCCAGCCCCCTCCTGGGGCCTGCTCATACCGCGGTGATACCAAGCCGGGGGCACAGAAACACGGGGGAAGCTGGGGGGGGGGGGGCACCTGCCTCGCTGGAGTGTAGCCGAGGGGCTGGGGCAGCTGCTGTGCCCAGCCTGTGCCCCCCTCCGGGATCTGATGTGCCCAGTTGGGCACTGGCAGCATCCCCAGCCTGACCTGCCCGTCCCTCCAGCTACAGCCCCCCCGTCCGCCCTGGGGTGCCCAGCTGCCCTGGCACGAAGGGCAGGGTTGGCACTAGACCAAAGGAACCATCTGGGCTGGGTCCATCCATTCGTTACCAATCCTCCTCCCCCTGCCCCGGGCAGCACCAGCCGGCGTGGGTCGGGGTTTTTTTACTTTATTTCTGACCTTGTCTGGTTCTCAGGCTGTGTAAATTTCTTGTACAAACCGAGAGGAACGTGCTAATAAAACCCACCTGTTTTTAAGAGACGTGTGTGTGTCTTGGGGGGGGGCAATGTGAGCACCACCCATGGGCCATTGCCCTGCTGCCCCTTGCCCTCTTCTGTGAGATGCCAGGGGCTGGCTGAACCCGAGTACCTGTAAAGTGCATGGGGTGCCCCACACAGGTTAACAACCTACAGTGGGAGCCGGCTAGTGGAGCGCTCCCCGGGGGGCAGGGGTATGGGGGGGTCATTGCACAAGCAGCCTGCTCGAAGCAATGCTCCCCCCCAGCCAGGCTGTGGCAGGGGAGCGGGACAGCCCCCCAGCAGCTCCTGGCAGCAGTAGTAGGGCTTTTAGCCTCTCCCGGGCCCCCCAGCTCAGAGAGGGATTGTGGGGCCGTGGCTGGGAGCTGCCCCGGCCTGCGAGGTGCCAGCTGGACTGTGGCACATGGGGGCCTCGGGCGCTGCCCTCCCAGCCTCCCCCCAGGCCTGCTGGAGCAAGGACAGTCCCAGCCCCGTGACCCCTCCTGCGGGAGCTGAGCAGCCACCCTGCACCCTCGCTGGTGCCACATGGTCCCCCTAGGGGCCGGCCCGGCCCCCTCACTAGCCCAGCAGGGGCAGGCAGGGAGGGCCAGTATAACACGGTGACCCGTCACCTGCAGGAGGCGACACATGGGGGCAGCCTGGCTCAGCTGGGGAAGGTGCAGGGTAGGCCTGGGTTGCAGCCCCATGGCATGGTAGCCCCCTGTTGCTCCCCCCTGCCCCTGGGGCTGAGTCTCGCCCATGAACCCAAGGGCAGCATGTCAAGGACGTGCCAGGCCCTGGGCCCAAGCCCGGCTGAGGCCCCCTGGTGTTCTCGGGCAGCGCACTGAGCCGGGCGGGGGGGGCTCTTCCCCCACTCCTGCCAGGCTGCAGTCAGGTTTGTGGGGCTGGATGCCCATCGCCGCGGGCTCTGCTTGTCCTGCCGTGGGCCTGGAAGACGTCTGTCCGGCTGTCCCCTCAGCCCGTCACTGCCGGCCTGGCACCGTCCCTGGCTGGGCTGTGTCACGCCTTGGGCACCTTCACCACCAGCTCCATGGGCGCCTGCCGGTTGGTCCTGTAGGCCTGGCGGATGAGGTCCACCGCCCGCTGGTGGGTGACCTTCTGCAGGCTCGCCCCGTCCACCGACACCAGCTCGGCCCCAGCCTGGCAACGCCCGAGAGACAGGGTTGGGAGCCTACAGGGATCGGTCGCCAGCCACTGACATGCAGCCACCTCTGGGGTGGGGCACGGCAGCTGTGGCAACCCTACACAATGATGGGGGCCAGGCAGTGACAAACTCCCCTGGGCCCGGGGGGTTGGTTAAGGGCAGGGCAGCCATGGTGGGGAGGATGCAGAGCACCGAGGGGAGGCATTGCCCACCACTCTGCCTGCAGTGGGGCAGCTGTGGGCCTGGTGCCAAGCCAGCTGCCAACCGGTGCTGTGGGGCAGGGCGAGGGGGTGGCGGCTGCTGGGGGAGCGCCACACTGGGACAATGGGGTCTGCGTGGGCCGCCCACCCCCCCCGCTCCCCAGCACAGCCCAGCTTTGCCATGGGTGGGGGGCTGGGTGCAGTGGCTGTGGGCGTACGGAGCAACCCAGGGCAGGGCAAGCCTGTGGTTTCCCAAGTTGCATGCAGGCAGGGGCAGCTGGCTCTGGGGGGCATCTAGCCCCCCCCCACGCCCAAATGGGGCTTGACCCCAGCCAGCGCCTCCCCACTCTGGGTTGCTGGGTGTCCTGGGCCAGTGGCGCTCGCTAGCTCCTGGCTACTTCCCCTTGGGGCTGGGCTAGCCCTGCAGGACCAGTGGAGCTAGACCAGGGGTGGGCAAAGTACGGCCCGCGGGACCCTCCTGCCCAGCCACCGAGCTCCTGGCCTGGGAGGCTAGCCCCCAGACCCTCCCCCGCTGTTCCCCGTCCTTCGCAGCCTCAGCTCGCCCCGCCGCAGTGCTGTGGGCTGTGAGCTCCTGGGGCAGCTCGGCTGCAGAGCCCAGCCTGACCTGGTCTCTGGGCTGCGCGGTGCACGGCTGTAGTGCCGCCAGTGCTCCAGGCAGCACGGTAAGGGGGCAGGGAGCAGGGGGGTTGGCTAGAGGGCAGGGGAGTTCGGGGGGTGGTCAGGAAGGGGGGGCGGGGTTGGATGGGGCCGCAGGGGGCAGTCAGGGGACAGGGAGATGGGATGGTTGGATGGGACAGGGGTCCCGGGGGGGGGCATCAGGGAAGGGGGGGGGGGGGGGGGGGCAGGAGTCCCAGGGAGGGGGTGTGACGAAGTGGGACTGTTCTTAATGTTTTCCTCAGTTTCCCCTATGCAGTTCTTAAGTATCTAGGTGGTGGGATAAGGGTGTATGGTTGCTGCAGAGCAAAGGGCCAGTGTACATAAATGCCCGACACTCTGTCTCCTGGCAACTAATGGCCTGGGCCCCTCCTCTGCAAAGGTGCCAACTGAAGGTGTTGGAGACAAAGGGATCAGGTGACCTCCTGGCCTGGGAAAGAGACAAAGCCCAGAGAAGGAGGGGCTGGACGGGAGTTTGGAGCTAGCTGGGGACGGGAAGGGAGGGCAGACAGGGGTCTGCCTCGCTGGGCCCCAGAATGGACCTGGCGGAGGGGTCCCGTTCACTGGACCTACAAGCTCTGTTTTGGACCGTGTTCCTGTCGTCTAATAAACCTCTGTTTTACTGGATGGCTGAGAGTCACGTCTGACTGCGGAGTGGGGGGTGCAGAACCCTTTGGCTTCCCCAGGACCCCACCAGGGCGGACTCGCTGTGGGAAGTGCACAGAGGGGCATATGCTGAATGCTCCCAGGAGAGACCCAGGAGGTGAAGCCATGTGAGCGTCTTGCCCTGAAGACGGTCTGCTCCGAGGGATAGGAGGCTCCCCAGAGTCCTGACTGGCTTTGTGGGGAGCAGTTCCAGAGCATCGCCCGGGGACTCCATGACAGGGGGCGCATAGGAGGTGGGGGCCGGGCCACGCCCCCCTCCCCTCCCCGGCTCTCCATACAATTTACGAACCCCGATGTAGCCCTCAGGCCAAAAAGTCTGCCCACCCCTGAGCTAGACCCTGGCTACTTCCCTGCCAGGCTGGGCTGGCCCCACAGGAAGCCCTGTTTCCCCCCTCCCGTCTGGGCTCCAGGCTACATCAAGGGTGGTGGCAGAGCTGGGTAGACAGGGGTGCCAGGGAGGGGGCTAGTGGGCAGAGCGCTGGGCTGGGACGCAGGATATCTGGAGTCCTGCGTCCAGTTTTGGGCCCCGGACTGCAAGAAGGATGTGGAAAATTTGATACTTTATGATTCTATGTCAGCTGGGTTCTAAGGGTCTACCACAGCCTCCCTGAGTGTCACCTCATCGTGCCATGCCTCAGTTTCCCCACCCACCGCTAGCGGGGGGACAGTGACCCTGGGCAGCAGAGAGAATGGCTGTTAATGCTTAAAAATCCGGGACTGCAGGGGCCCATCCTGCCAGCTGCTTCCCATGGGTCTGGAAGCCATCAAGCTCCAGGCTGGACACATCCTGCAGCCTTGCGCTTACAAAGAACCCTTCCAAATGTGACCCGAAGGGTACCTGACGCCGGGGCGCCTGCCTTTGGCTGTAGCCAGCCTGAACCAATGGCTCTGGGTGCCTGAACTGCCCCTTCTCATTCCAACTGACTGTTAACTCTGAACCCTACTGATGGCAAAAGGCACCCGTTTTGCCTCTCTTGCCCCTGAGCAAAGCACACAAAGGCACGCGATGCTCCCGCTATGCAGAGCTGTGCCCCCACCATGCGCTTTGCCATCTCACGAAGAGGGGTGTGGGGGGGCACGGGCAGAGAGGTCCGTGCTGGTGTCTGAGTCTAGTGCAGGAGAGCAGCTGGGCGTCTGTCCGTCAGCTTGCGTGTCTGACTCAGCCCTGGCCAGCGCCGCGGTTATGCGTCCCTCCCCGGGCGCCCCCAGGACCCCCGTCTCTGCCCAGTGTCTGATCACAGAGCTGGTCTGTCCCGCAGAGAGACCAGTTAACCGCCCCGGGGGTTAGCCCCAGCCGCAGCAGGGAGCTCCCGCCCTTCCCCCCGCACACTCCCCGTACCTGCAGGACCCCGCTCAGGAATGCCGCCCCTCCGGGAAAGATCTTCTCGATCCTCACCATCGGCTGCACCTTGGACTCGATCCCGCCCGAGATGCTGATCCCTGGAAGGCAACGAGGTAGCGGTGGAGCAGCCCCAGCCTGCCCAGTCCGCCCGGACCCCTCCGGCTGGCGCCAGGGCCCTGGCACCTGTGGGCAGCCCCCAAGGCCTGACCCGCTTCAGCCAGCCCCGGCCCTACAGCTGGAATGTGTAGGGGGGAGGGGGGCGGAGGGCTAGCGACCCCATGCTGGCACCGTGGCAGGCTCCGGTACTCACACCTGCTTCCAGCCCCATCCCCGGCCCGCGCCCCACTGCGCCCACCCAGTGCTGGGTCCCCCTCCCGGTGCCTTTGGCACCCGAAACTGGATGGAGACTCATGGGAGGCGGGGGGGGGGGGGGAGCTGGTATCTGTATTTAAGGGAGCGCTCCCCACCCCCACCTCCAGGCTGGGCCCAACTGTGACCCCTCCCGGGCGTGGGCCAGGCTGGTTTTCAAACGCCCACGTGACGGGCGCCCACGTTCCTGAAATTCGACTCCACGGCCGGCCCCGGCGCTGGGGTCTGTGAGCACGGCCCTGGGGGGACTCGGCCGCCCCGTGACTGTGCCCGTCTCCAGCCCCTGCGCGGTGCCCACCGTGCCCCAGCCCACCTGGCGCCTCCCTGCCACAGCCGGATTTCAGCTGCCACCTGGGAAAAGCCCAGCCTGGGCGCAGGAGCAGCGGGGCGGCCTGTGATGACAGGTGGAGGCTGAAGGGAGCCCAGAGGCGGGGGGCTCCGGGGTGCACAGGGGGCAGGGAGGGGCTGCAGGGAGCCCAGAGGCAGGCGGCTCAGGGGTGCACAGGGGGCAGGGAGGGGCTGCAGGAAGCCGAGCAGTGGGGGGCTCTGGGGGTACACAGGGGGCAGGGAGGGGCTGCAGGGA